TTACTTGTTACATTGTACAAGGAGAATGTCTTGACAGAGGCAAGGCACAGACCCTAGCCTCTCTCAGGACAAGTCTGATGATTCACAGATGGCAAGCCCCTTTTGGTTGAACAAGACACACCTTCGTATGCAGATGGGAAAGGAAGAACCCACACAACAAAAGACACTCTGTATTAGCGTAAACAAAGAATGCTGTGTTTAACATATGAGCTCCCCAGACCTCGTGGAGTTTTGCTGGAGCTGAAGTGAATTACAGAATAGCGCATTCAGCATATAGCCACATATGATTTACCAAAATGATAACTTAAATTACATTCCAATATCATATTCCCTCCTTTTTATCCTTTTGATAAATCAAACAATCTATGTTTAAACATGGAGAACATGGAGAACTGAAAATGAAAAAACACACATCCAAACTGAAAAAGAAAAAAATGTTCATAGTATAATTTCACATTGTTGTTCCATAAACTATTCCCCCTGTTGAGACATAACATGGCTCAAAACTGAACAATGTATTAACTCTGAAATGTATTAACTTTAAATGTATTAACTTTGGTTATCAAATTCAACACCACGCACACGCCCAAAAGCCCGAAAACCCAAAGTCCATTTTCACAGTCCATAGACAGTCCATTTGACACGTCCTCTCGACCCCTCCTCATGTTTGGTTATGACCAGAAATGTCCACTCTGTTCCTGTTTCGAAACTCTTCTCTGTCTGCGTTTCCGACGCAAGACTAGCAGCAAGCCGTTCTCCAACAACGACACAAAGCTGAACTTTCAAGTCACAAATGTACCAAGATGTCACCTTCAATTCTCACGTCCATTTAACTTGAACAAACGGCCAGCACCCTCCGTGGGCCTGCGCGCTTTGATCTTTGCAAATCGGCCCGTGATTATTCGTCAGCAGCTTCCGGTGCAGGGGGGTTTGTGTGGAGGGTCGTTTCGTAGGTGTCGATGGCTGTATGGAGATGCCGATGGGGGTGGGATTTCTGTCCCACAATGGAAATAGGTGGATTTTGTTGCTTTGAAGCTTTGGCAGGGATGTGGCATTTTTCTCAAAAACAAGAAGCACATTTGTTAAGACATTTCAGAATCAAAACATAAGGTGAAGGGTAATTCTAAACCAAGAAAACTTTGACAAAGGAAAACGAAGAGGACTCACAGAACAAAGAAGGACACAGACAAACAAAGAAACACATGGCCAGAGGACAAAGGACCACATGGCCACCCAAAATGGCCGCCCTACACAATGCTTGCAATTTAACTTTTTTTTTTTTAGGTGTGTTTACAATGTCCAATTCCAAATTTTGAGTAATTTAAAGGTCTTTAAACATCCATCTTCAATTTAGTGTATTGAGATATCTTTAAATGTCCAATTTCAGTTTAGAAGTGATGTAGAAGTTCAGTCCGAAGTAATTCAATTCTAACACATTCATTATACAGGCGTAACTCTGCGTTCTTTAATTCAAAATGAACCCCGTTCACTTTTAACTGCAGTAAAAAGTAGTCCCCGACTTACTCTTAATAATAACCCCGTTATTATACAGTCTATGATAGTCCCCGACTATCTAAAGATAAACCCCGTTATCCCGGCCTCGACTGTCTGCAATATAGTCCCCGACTATTTAAAAAGGATAATCCCCGTTATCCCAGGCCTTTTTTAATTTGAATCCCCGACTCAAAAAGTAAAATACCCTTTTGAATGAAACCCCGTTCATTCGAGCTCTGTAAAAGTCCTTGACTAAAGGCATAACTCTGCGTTATCCTAAATGAACGTGTTCATGTGAACTTCACACTACTTCCTGGATTACTTTTGGACATAATTTAGTGTTTAGAACTTGCCTTTGTTGCAATTTCATCAGGAAAAAACTGTAGTTCTCCCGTCGACTCCAACCCAGGGCTGTCCTGCCTCAAACCTGGAGTTCCAATGCAGTTCCGAATGCAGAAGGCCTTGTAGTTGCTCCTGGAAGTCCATGTTTGAGACAAGCTCAGCTCCTGTAAGAAGTGTTGGGATCCGGCTCGAAGGACCAAGTGATAATGCTGTTTCAACTACAGTTGAACCTGATGAAATCTCACACAACAAAGAGACAAAGTTAATCTTTTACTTGTTACATTGTACAAGGAGAATGTCTTGACAGAGGCAAGGCACAGACCCTAGCCTCTCTCAGGACAAGTCTGATGATTCACAGATGGCAAGCCCCTTTTGGTTGAACAAGACACACCTTCGTATGCAGATGGGAAAGGAAGAACCCACACAACAAAAGACACTCTGTATTAGCGTAAACAAAGAATGCTGTGTTTAACATATGAGCTCCCCAGACCTCGTGGAGTTTTGCTGGAGCTGAAGTGAATTACAGAATAGCGCATTCAGCATATAGCCACATATGATTTACCAAAATGATAACTTAAATTACATTCCAATATCATATTCCCTCCTTTTTATCCTTTTGATAAATCAAACAATCTATGTTTAAACATGGAGAACATGGAGAACTGAAAATGAAAAAACACACATCCAAACTGAAAAAGAAAAAAATGTTCATAGTATAATTTCACATTGTTGTTCCATAAACTATTCCCCCTGTTGAGACATAACATGGCTCAAAACTGAACAATGTATTAACTCTGAAATGTATTAACTTTAAATGTATTAACTTTGGTTATCAAATTCAACACCACGCACACGCCCAAAAGCCCGAAAACCCAAAGTCCATTTTCACAGTCCATAGACAGTCCATTTGACACGTCCTCTCGACCCCTCCTCATGTTTGGTTATGACCAGAAATGTCCACTCTGTTCCTGTTTCGAAACTCTTCTCTGTCTGCGTTTCCGACGCAAGACTAGCAGCAAGCCGTTCTCCAACAACGACACAAAGCTGAACTTTCAAGTCACAAATGTACCAAGATGTCACCTTCAATTCTCACGTCCATTTAACTTGAACAAACGGCCAGCACCCTCCGTGGGCCTGCGCGCTTTGATCTTTGCAAATCGGCCCGTGATTATTCGTCAGCAGCTTCCGGTGCAGGGGGGTTTGTGTGGAGGGTCGTTTCGTAGGTGTCGATGGCTGTATGGAGATGCCGATGGGGGTGGGATTTCTGTCCCACAATGGAAATAGGTGGATTTTGTTGCTTTGAAGCTTTGGCAGGGATGTGGCATTTTTCTCAAAAACAAGAAGCACATTTGTTAAGACATTTCAGAATCAAAACATAAGGTGAAGGGTAATTCTAAACCAAGAAAACTTTGACAAAGGAAAACGAAGAGGACTCACAGAACAAAGAAGGACACAGACAAACAAAGAAACACATGGCCAGAGGACAAAGGACCACATGGCCACCCAAAATGGCCGCCCTACACAATGCTTGCAATTTAACTTTTTTTTTTTTTAGGTGTGTTTACAATGTCCAATTCCAAATTTTGAGTAATTTAAAGGTCTTTAAACATCCATCTTCAATTTAGTGTATTGAGATATCTTTAAATGTCCAATTTCAGTTTAGAAGTGATGTAGAAGTTCAGTCCGAAGTAATTCAATTCTAACACATTCATTATACAGGCGTAACTCTGCGTTCTTTAATTCAAAATGAACCCCGTTCACTTTTAACTGCAGTAAAAAGTAGTCCCCGACTTACTCTTAATAATAACCCCGTTATTATACAGTCTATGATAGTCCCCGACTATCTAAAGATAAACCCCGTTATCCCGGCCTCGACTGTCTGCAATATAGTCCCCGACTATTTAAAAAGGATAATCCCCGTTATCCCAGGCCTTTTTTAATTTGAATCCCCGACTCAAAAAGTAAAATACCCTTTTGAATGAAACCCCGTTCATTCGAGCTCTGTAAAAGTCCTTGACTAAAGGCATAACTCTGCGTTATCCTAAATGAACGTGTTCATGTGAACTTCACACTACTTCCTGGATTACTTTTGGACATAATTTAGTGTTTAGAACTTGCCTTTGTTGCAATTTCATCAGGAAAAAACTGTAGTTCTCCCGTCGACTCCAACCCAGGGCTGTCCTGCCTCAAACCTGGAGTTCCAATGCAGTTCCGAATGCAGAAGGCCTTGTAGTTGCTCCTGGAAGTCCATGTTTGAGACAAGCTCAGCTCCTGTAAGAAGTGTTGGGATCCGGCTCGAAGGACCAAGTGATAATGCTGTTTCAACTACAGTTGAACCTGATGAAATCTCACACAACAAAGAGACAAAGTTAATCTTTTACTTGTTACATTGTACAAGGAGAATGTCTTGACAGAGGCAAGGCACAGACCCTAGCCTCTCTCAGGACAAGTCTGATGATTCACAGATGGCAAGCCCCTTTTGGTTGAACAAGACACACCTTCGTATGCAGATGGGAAAGGAAGAACCCACACAACAAAAGACACTCTGTATTAGCGTAAACAAAGAATGCTGTGTTTAACATATGAGCTCCCCAGACCTCGTGGAGTTTTGCTGGAGCTGAAGTGAATTACAGAATAGCGCATTCAGCATATAGCCACATATGATTTACCAAAATGATAACTTGAATTACATTCCAATATCAACAGTATAAACAGTGAACAGTATAATACTGTTCACTGCTTTGAATCTATACTACTGTATTTGAATTACTATTTTTGCAAAGTTCCAGTAAAATGTATTCCATGCCTTTTAGGTGGAAATGTCATGTTTATGGCTAATAAACGTTTTGTAACAACACACGATGATCATAAAAGCTTTATTTATCAAAAGTAAGTTGTAAAGAGAGTACAAACACTAGGCATTTGTGCCCAGGCATGAATTGTGGGCCCTAATTTTTTCCCTTTGACAGTAGCACATGCCTATTCTAAGATGACAATGCCATATATATATCCAGTGCGCTCTTTAGTATTATACAATTGCAGACTAATTATTCAATAGATTTAGGTAGCTAAAGTCTAGGTCAATGCTGAACATGCTTTAACAACCCAATTGGAAGAACTTGACCCAGGTTAGCAAAATCTTCTTGTTGTGTTAATCAATGAGCTCATAGCATCTTTAAATGGATCAGAGTTATGATTAACCACATTTTCAAAGACATACAATAAATTAACATGGGAGAACTCTATTTCACACTGTACTCTGGCTTCTTCGGAGAGAAATGGATCAGCTCCAAAAACAGATTCTCTTGTCAGTTCAGACCCAGTTTCCTGACGATACCAATCAGCAGCAACATTTGCATCAGGAAGCTGATCTTGGTTGACTCTCACAGGACACCCTCCAGAAGCAAGCTCATCCGGGATTCCTTTTCCTAGAACACAGATGAAATGCAAATCAGTAATCAAAATATGAAAAGATAAACTCATTAAGTACAAAGATGACAAGTGAAGTATGGTGGTCAAGGTCTAAGTACTTAATTTTGTAAGTAAAAGTACAGATAATAATGGTCACATTTTACTGCAATACACTTAAAATTATTAACTGAAAGAACATAACCATTTGCTAGACTTTCTGATAGACAGAACAAATTTGTTCAAATCATTTTGGGGAACAATTTTGGGTAATTTATTTACTCTTAAAAAGTAATAGAGTAAAAAAAATTACAAGTACAGACCCTCTAAAGAAAAGTACATACATTTACTTTATAGTTAGTAAAAATCAATTATTACATTGCAAAAGTCTTGAGTAATGAAAGTTATTTTTTCTGTGTTTGCATTTCAATTTATGCAGGGAAATGCATCTTTAAATGGTTAATACAGACAATGACGCTTATAACACACCTGGGATCCTATGTGCGTTCCAGGCCTTTATGACATTGTTGATGCCAATCCCAGCTAACTGGCAGGTCAGGTTTGACACACAAAACCGGGATACGTTGTCTTCCATGTCAAGTTCCTCACTGTCAACCAGCTGAATCAAGGCCGTCTTCAATGGGTAGTTCACCCGTGCATTCACTTCTGGCCACATACGTTCAATGACATGGTTCTGTAAAACAGCGAGAGAATGTTACTCTAGAGCATTGGTTCTCTAAATGGCACATGATCCACTTCTTACAGTTTTATTCAGAGTCAACAAGTTTAGATCATAGTCATTTATATTGATTCTTTAGTAATAATTAGTTTACACTTTATTTAGTACAATTTTGAGTAATATCAGACCCATTTTAGACCATGTGTAGTCATAATTTGATGTTGAGCTAGGCCTTGTCGCTCTAAGGTCTGATATTTTATTAAGTAGGCCTACTTGGTGTGAATGGTTTGAAAACCCAATACAGAAAGATTTGTAGAGAGTGATAAAACATTAATACACATAGGGCCAATGTGTAAAATATCTAGCATGTGCAAAAGTGAATCAACAACAGTCAATTGCACAGTTTTTGGTCATGCAGCATTCTCTCATTTACATTTGATTTGGGGCCGTATGACTAACATAGTCAATTTCAGATGGTAAATTAATCGCAACATACCCACAAATTGCTTTATTCTTGTTTCTATTCTTTATTCTTCACTATTAGCACTTGTCTTGAGAAATTATCCCCTAGAGTAAAAAGTGAATGCTTACCTTAGTGGAAGGCGTTTGAACATAGGGTTGCCTTTGTTGATTGTGTCTGGTGTGCCAGTTTTTCTTGCATAAACAGTGACAGATAAAACTCCTTCCCACAATCAACCCTTACTTGGTCCCAGATACCATACTGTTGCACTGCATGTCTAAGGCAGATCAAAAACAGCAACACGTTTTTATTGGGTTATTTTCACATAATAATAATAATGGGTAAATAACTATGTTATATATTACCTGTACACCTCCTCATAAATGGTGAGGTTGTTTTTTATTGGCATTGTAGAATAGCCTACAACCTTCTTGCTGTAACCATCTATGGCCATAACATGTGTGACACCAAACATTACCAGTTTTTCATTTTGATCCATATGTAACTTGTGTCCCATATACTCAGCATTATATGGGACAGGGTTTAAATTGCGGGCACCCTAGAACCAAAACAAAACACAGTATTTATTTATTTTTTCTTAATTTGTAATATATGTGCGAATTGTGAAATGTGCTTTTCTTACCTGTTGGCGTGCCACGAGGTAAGGTTCATTTACAGACCTTAATATCTTCCCCACCCTACCCTCAGAGGCTTTAATGCCTTTTGCAGACAAGTATCCGGTCATCATTTTGCGGCCAAATGATGATCCAGTCTGCAAGAAATAACATTTTCATATTATAAACATACATTGTAAATTGTGTGTTTTGTTCTAAAATATCCAGGAGGAGGCGATGTTGTGCAGTATACATTTACTACAATAATCAGAGGTATGGGACTTATTTTTCACCAAAATTACATTAAATAACAACTGTGCATGAAATGATTGCTGGCCATTTGCAATAACTATTGACAATGTTAGTAACAATTTTGTTTTGACTATTATAAGGTAAGCCTTTAGCTTTACCTTTAGCATTTCTTGTCCAGTTTACAGCTATAGAGTTCAGGAATGTGATGTCATATCGCTAAGAATAGTGGGATTAGCAGCAATAATAAACTAATGGAGATTTTTAAAAGGTACAATACTGGAGTAATTGTTCACATTAAAACACCTGGACACCACAGTGAGATAGATGTGTTTACCAGTAGCTGTTCCACAGATTTTCTTTCCACTTTTTAGCTACTGTTAGTCTATGGATAATATGCCAACAGCTGCAAACATGGCGGATCTCCATGGTAACAGTGGATTTTCCCGAAGGCTATTAACGAAGTCACCTCTGCACCACTATACATAATTAGCATACATTTGTGCCGGCGACAAAAAAAAAGTAAAATTAACCAAACACCTGGACATACCTCTGCGATTCCTTTTGAGACTTCAAGTTCAAGCCGATTGTCAGGACAGATGTCCTGATTTAGGCCACGTTCAAAGCACCATCTTCTCACATTTCGCTCTGAGAAACCCACAGTTGGACCAAACTGTGCAGTTAGCGCGTTGGCGATCTCACCACAAGCCATACCACTCATCCTTCTCTCTATAATAAAGTCGGCGAAACTATTTAAGGCCATTTGAAAACTTATTAAAGTAGAAAAAAAGACAAATTAGTTAGCCACTGTAACAGCTGACGTCTTCTCACAAAGTAGAGTGACTTCGGCCGCTTAGTGGCATAGTGGTAGGCATGGTTAACAGATTCCGGGTCAGCTTCAAAATAAGATCAAGAATGGAAAATCAAATTTTTGCCGTGGTTTTTCGATGTTGGTGTTTCTTGTGTAAATGTGTAATGGAAAAACGGATTATGACCTGTTTTTCGTTATCCGTTTTTTAATTTTAAAACACAAAATCGAAAAACGGATTAAATTCTCGTTTTCTACATTTTATTTTGAAAACGGAAAACGGGAAACGGCCAATATTTGTTTTTTGTATTTTCTTTCCTAATCAAAAATAGAATGGCCGCGACGTACACTGACCTTCCCAGAGCCTCCACACCCGTTTCACACAATACACATGGACTACATAGAACTAAACAAAACCAACGGACTACGGTATTGTTTAGTAATCATTGATGCATTCTCCAAGTGGGTAGAAATGTTTCCTACTGCAAGTAATGACTCACTCACAGTGGCTAAGGCCATCTGTAAGACCATAATACCGACCTTCGGGATTCCTCAGGTTATACGATCAGACTGTGGTGCTCATTTTGTTAATGAAGTAATCCATCGTATAGGTGAACATTTTGGAATAACATTGAAAAACCATTGTGCCTACCATCCTCAATCAGCAGGACTGGTAGAGAGAGTGAATGGGACAATTAAGAATAAACTCTCTAAAGCAACCAAAGATACAGGAAGAACGTGGCCTCAGTGTGTGGATCTTGTAAAGACTAATCTGCATATTGTACCCACTCAGAACTCTCTATCTCCATTTGAAATCCTATATGGAAGACCATTCACTATTCCAGACTTACAATTGACCGAGGACAGACCGGACACTAGTCCAGACCTGGTGACATATATGAGACAGCTGTTTGAGAGCAGGGAAATCCAAAATGTGCATAAATTGCCTGCCGAACCATTTTCTCAACAGGAAAGGACAGTGAAGCCAGGGGACAGTGTGTTCATCAAAGTGATAAAAAGGAAGTCCTGGAACAGCCCTCGGTGGGAAGGTCCGCACATCGTCACCATCTCCACTCCCACGGCAGTGAAGATCGAGGGACGAACCTTGTGGGTACACCTCTCCCATTGCAAGCTCCGAGACCAACTTGACCCGAACGCCTAGAGAGACGCAGGACGTCGTTGGTAAGCTGTGACAACAACGGTACTTTGACACACACAACCGCTACGATGAGATCGATCCAGGCTCTTATAGGCTTAGTCCTAGGCCTGGCTACGCTGACCTTCACAGCCCCAGTCAACAACGTCGTCAACGGTCCAGAGCAGCCACAGAAGACCCCAGGAGAACTATGTACTGAACTGTTTAGAAGAATAACACCCCCCTCAGGGCTTTGTTTACCCCCTGAGGGTAATTTTTCTCTACAGATACCCTGCAGCGTGCTGACCGATTCTCAGGGAAGACGTCCCACAGGTTGTACCCAACATGACCAGTGGGTTGTAGAATCTAAATGGTATCGTGGTGGGTTGATCCCACCGGGTACTCCCACATCTGTATCGTACACCGCTGTAGAAGGGGGGTTGTGGGTGCACTATGACGTTGTTGCAGGACACCAGCAAGTTGACCCTGATAACCCAGATAAGACATGGGACCGCCCTTTTAGATCCTGGATGTTGATACGCAAATCTGACAAAGGGCGTTATCGCTTCCTTGTCCGCAGATCTAAAGAAATATTGATACCATCTCCCACCTTGATCTACGCTAAAGGGGGAGCGGTGATTATTGAAACAAACACTGATATATGGTTCAGGACCACATCAGGCGTTTCAGGCCATCAGAATAATTGGCTTTTAATAGCAGAACAAGCGGCAAAGCGACGATCCAGAGATTGTGTAGTGTGCATGGGACCACGACCCCCAGTACGTGTAGTCCCCGCCCCACTACCCAACAATGTGGATGTGCTCAGCCTAATGACGCAGACTGCTTTAGCTATTGACCTTAAAAAATATGCTGAAGCTTTTCCAGTGATTCCCCCAAGCACGGGGACACCCATGTTTGATTCCGAAGTGGCTTTCATGAATTTCACATGTATCCTGATCATAGATGACAGAGGCACACCCGTTGAGTCAAAATAAACTATGTTGTCCCCTAAGTACTGTCAAACAACCTGGCGTCTAACCATGCACAAGAAACAGGGTGTGACAACAGTGTCCAGGGCTGACCTATGGTGGTGGTGCGGAGGAGCAGTACTGCGTGACAAACTCCCCACCACGGGTCGCTGTGCACTGGTCACTCTGATCATTTCTGCCTCCATATATGAAATAGACTTCGATGTGCTGCTTGCAGACAGGCCTATTGTCAAACCACAGCTACCTAATCCCATGACTAGGTTTAAACGAGAGGCATTAGACTGGCTCCCAGCACACAACCCCACTTATATAGATGCCATTGGGGTTCCCAGAGGAGTGCCAAATGAATATAGACTAGCTGACCACATCGCCTCTGGTTTTGAAAGTCTGATTCCACAGATTGTGATAAATAAGAATGTTGACCGCATCAATTACATTCATTACAATGTTCAAGTTCTAGGGAACTACACCCTGGCAGGACTGAATGTTCTGCCCTGTTCCCCGATGGTCAGTGCTGTACGGCCATCCCAAATAACACACAGTCAGGAGGAAAATTGACACAAGTTCTACAAGGATTGGAGAAGTTTAATTTACAGATGAAGGCACATTCTGGTGTCAATAATGCCTTGGAGTCTTGGTTCGGCCAGTTCGGCAAATATAAAGACCTGGCTAAGGCAATTTTTCTGGGTTTGACTATAATCCTAGTATGTCTTATTGTTTTCATATGTTGCTGTATCCCATTATTTCGTGTTGTGATGAAAAAGATGATGTTCAACGCGCTGAGACCACTGGAAGGCCTGATGACTCAGGAGCAGGTACACTTGATTGATGTTTACATACTGGACCCAGATGATGACATGCCTGACGACGATCCTGGACGTAGATAGAGAGTAAATGATTATTGACCCATGTTGTACAAATTCTCCGAAATTCATGAAGGAGCTAATCCAAACCCTAGCGGGAAGATTAGCCTCGGAACACTTTCTGTGAAATTTGTTTAAACAGGGGGAAAATGTGGAAGAATGTCCAGGGTTTATGTTCAAGTCTTGTTTTGTTTTATTGTAAGCGCATAATAAGTTAAACTAAAATGTTCATGTGAAAGTGTGTGCAGGGGAACAGGATGTGAAAGTGTGTGCAAGGGAACAGGATGTTGTTGACGCGCTTTAGCAACAGTTCTCTGAAATGATAAGAACAACGGAAAGTTTCAAGCTGTTATGGAAGATTACTTGCACGCTGTGAGTTGGGGGCGTCTCTAGACGCACCAACTGCCTTGCTATTGAACAAATATGGTATCGTGTAACTGTAACCACACCTGCTTTTCTGTGCTGAATAAAAGCTGTGCCCGGAAAGGAGCACATCGGGAGATCACTCTGCTAGTACACGGACGTGTCCTGAGCAGTCTGATAGCTTGATGCGTATCCCCCGTGATCACGTATACTCATAACTACAGTGTCCTCTGAGTTATTGTAGGTACAGGAGTTAACCTTGCAAGGTGAATTAGTTTCAGCCTCTAGGTTGTTTTGGTTTTTGGGTCTATGATCTGTTAGTCACCACGCTTAGAGCCTGGTGTAATTTCCTGACAACATTGTTGTTCTTCAACAGCCTGTCTCAACTCTGCTTTGGGGTCCTCATTTGAAACTAGTGATGTGCTGAGCGTGCCGGGTCTTCGAAGCGTGTACCGAGTAAAAAAGGGGCGTATTTTTTGAAGCGTGGTTCGAGGCGTGTGTTGGTGACGTATGTGGTGACGTTCGAAGCCTCGCGTAGCGGCCGCACCACGTGACGGTTCATATAGTGCTTCATATAGTTCGGAAAGTGCATTGCTTTGACAGGTGCTTTGTGATCCGCGGCTGTACTATAGACTGTATTGGCTGTCCCCGTCTGCCTCTGTGTGCGTACGTGTGTGTGCGTGATGTGGAGCAGTCCTGTACTAAGTATAGAGAAATTTTTTCATATGAAATACAATTAAAAACGTTTCACTTTAGTAAAACCTCATATATCAAGGCTTCAAGTTATTAGTAATAATACGCTGGATAATACATTTCACAACAGCTGTGTGGCGCAGTCGGTCTATGAAGGACCCCGAAGTAGAAGATATAGAGTTCGAATCCCAGTCTACCCATAATGAATTTTGTGTTGCAAGGTAAATGTATTTATTTATTGGGAATAAATGGTTTGTTGTGTTTAATTAATCCACCTCTTGGTAGTTTTTCCTCCATTAATCACTTTCTGTAGAACTGTATTACTTTGGATGTGTTTGTTGTATCAACACAATTGACTGAAAGACTCAAATAGTTCATAGTTCATGAAGCATCATTTCAAACACAACACGTTAGACCATAGATTGTAAATATACATTTTAACATTAGATCTCACCATTCATTGTAAGCACTTAAGAGTGTTATGTATTTCTTTGTCCACATGATGGCGTAGTGGAGCATGATTCACCTCGAGCCTTCGACTCATGGGCCGAGTAATAGGCTGCGATCCCTCAAGGCTTCATGGGGCTTCATATTGCCATCACTATTTGAAACACATAACAAAAAGGCTGCCGCTGCTGCGAGGTGAGGGGCTTTGCATTGGCTTACTGACAGCCTTTTTGAATGTGGTCAGCCCCGCCCCTACCAATCTCCAGGGGCTGCCAGTCCCGATCAGCTCTCCTATTGGCTGGATCCCGGAAGGAGGAGAAAGCCAGCAGCAGCACACCTATCACACAAGACTGGGGTCGTCACAGCACACAAGATATGAAAAGGGTCGTCTAGTTCTGTGTACCGGTATTGTCAAACGAAACTGCTGTACAAATCAAGATGTACAAGACATTTGCTAAGTTAGATGAACACAACGGCAGACTTATAACTAACTTGTGATTGCTTTCTGCCAAAGTTTAAAATGAAAGAAGGACTCAAAATGTGTGATTTGATAAAAGTAAATGCAAAAAAAGGTCCCAAAAACAGAACTAAAGTACAAATACAATACAATTTATTCTTGTATAGCCCTAAGTCACAACAGAAGTCATCTCAGAGGACTTAACAAAACCATTGAAATCACCAACACAGATCAGAGAATCAACAGTTAAAACACATGAAAAATATAAAGCACACACAAAAAAATGTCCATACATGTTGTAGAATGTTAAAGTGTCCTGGATCATCACCGATCCTTTCTGTTGGACACTAACTGTCCAACAAGACCCTCCTGCATCGGCAAGGAAAAACAAAAAGAAAAACAGTGGGAAAAAGTGAGAAACCTTGAGGAGACCTAGGGAAACCCACAGGGAGGGAGACCCGTTTGAGAAAGGGATCCGCTCCTCCGGACGGACAGGCTAATGATCTAAGACCTAAGCTAGCGACAGAACGTGGACCAGTGGCCGCTGAACGTGGACAGGTTTCCGGATCCAGGTTTGTTTTCTTCAGACGGGGTTTGATTACCGCGGTTTTAAAAGCTTGTGGGACATAGCCACATTGTATGGATGCTTTTATTATATTTACGATAGGCTCAATTATCAAAGGAAGTATGTCTTTAAAGAGCCAAGCCGGGATTGCATCTAACATGCAAGTTGAGGCTTTTGAGGATGTGACCACAGAGATCACCTCTGCTTGGCTCACAGCCATGAATTTATCGAGGCCCACTGAAGAGTCCAAGTGGGAAGTCAAGTACTCCGCTTCAGCCTGTCCATTACCAACAGCAGGAGTAACCTCCTCCAGTTTGTCACGAATGGATCAGGGACGTGCAGTCAGGGGAGGCAGGGGAGGCAGAGCCTCACCTGCCATTATTGGAAACTAATAATTATTTTAGTTTAAATATATAATTTATATCCACTGTCCTATGCTTTTAATGTATATTCGGCACGGTTCCCATCAGTTTTGATCATTTCTGAAGTCAAAATCGCCGAAATCCCGTTATTCCTATTCAAAGAGACGAGGTGAGGCAGCGCTCCTGCGTGCCTCACCCCAGACCGCTCCCTCACAGTGTGTGTGTGTGTGTCTGAGTGCACTCAGCTCGTGCAGTTGATATATCACCGTTTGTTTCAAATATCCTGCTTTAAAAACATTTTTTAAACTCCTCTTAGTGTTTAGTAGTGTATTGCACGTATGTGTGTACAATTTATATTTAGTTTAAGTCTTTTGATCGTAGATGAACACACAAGGAAAAAGCTTGGCGTGAGGCAGGCGGTATCTGTGCCTCACCGCTAGGGGTGATAGTGAGCATAAAGTTCATACCAGAGTTGCTAACAAACAATCAGCCCAAAATGCTATTTCTTTTGCTGGAAAATGGATGATTGAATGAAGATTTTTTTCTCAATTGGACTTTCAAACAAAGAAAGAATTAATAAAGACTGGGAGACCACCACTGGACTTACGAGGTTAGTCCGGCTGCGGGGGAGGAGTTTGTTAATCTGTGTTTTATGTTGAACATTGACAGATACCGGCAAAGTAGTGCTTTTCCGAAAAACACTGATTTCAAACACTGCTCAAGAGTTCTGCAACTTGTTTAAATTATTGTTTATGTTCCTCGCGTCTCTCTCTCCTCGCGTCTCTCTCTCCTCGCCGTCTCCGTCTCTCTCTGCTCCTCGCGTCTCCGTCTCTCTGCTCCTCTCTGTCTCTCTCTGCTCCTCGCGTCTCCGTCTCTCTGCTCCTCTCTGTCTCTCTCTGCTCCTCTCTCCTCGCGTCTCTCTCTCCTCGCGTCTCCGTCTCTCTCTGCTCCTCGCGTCTCCGTCTCTCTGCTCCTCTCTGTCTCTCTCTGCTCCTCTCTCCTCGCGTCTCTCTCTCTCCCTCGCGTCTCTCGCACCTGCGCTTCTTAAAGATGTTGTTTGATGCGGAGCAGAGTCAGCAGCTAGATTTGTTGTGAGATTATTAAAAGAAGCTGGTTCTCTTATCTTTACAGTATATAAAGTTTGTGGATGTCATTGCATTGGTGATTAAATGCTATTTTATTTGAATAATGATTGTAAATCTGACTTTTAAAGTCAGTGCCTCCCCAATCACAAACCTCACCGCACGTCCCTGGAATGGATGTAATTTTATTATTAAAGAAGTGGAGAAAGTTGACACTGCTCAGTGAGCTTGGAATTTTAGGCTCGATTGCGCTGTGGCAGTTTGTGAGTTTAGCGACGGTGCTAAACAAAAATCTACTGTTGTTTTTATTCGCTTCTATTAAAGTTGAATAGTATTGAGTTCGAGCCCTGCGAAGGGCATCCTTGTAGTTTCGGAGACCTGCTTTCCACTCCCTGTGGACAGCCTCCAAGTGGGAGTGGCGATATAGCCTCTCCAATTTTCTGACGTCCTGTTTTAAAGTGTGGAGTTGAACACTGTACCAGGGTGACAATGATCTAATCCTAATGAGGAGCGAAGACTGGAAAGAAGAAAGAAATTGATGGACTGACAACAAGGGAACCCAAAATACTGAAAATAATGTGTAATTTCATGAAAGAAGTCCAAGGTAACAGAAAACAAGCCATGAACCAACGTGGTACAGACAACAAGTGGGGAAAAGCACAGGGAATACAGTTTTTTGCATTCGCTTTGATGCTTTTCTCAGATAACAATGAAAGTTCTCTCAGCTATCAGTTCAACCTCCACAACATTGAGTCAATTGTGCACATCATAGTAGCAGTTTCTCATTCATTTGAGCAAATCTTTGGACTTTCATACAATTCTCTGCTGTTTTATAACATTATAATTTGTTTCTCGTGTCAATCAAAATGTAACATAGTTATGAATGCCGAATAGTCAAAACTAATAGCCCTCCTTTCATTGCTTTAGTCATTACATACAAAAGAGTTGAACTAGTTGCCTTCAAGGAAGACATCTGCTGTGATGTAGATGAAAATATGTGGCCAGACAGACGGAAGGAGTGACAGTTCAGAAATATTTCAGTATACAATAATATGTACTGTTCGTTTGTTCTACGTAAATACAGTAAGTGACTGCAATTTTTTGCACAATGATGTTGCAAAGAGCATATGTAGTATATATGTGAAATACATACGTACATACAGTACAGACCAAAAGTTTGGACACACTTTCTCATTCAATGAGTGTCCTTTCTTTTCATGACTATTGACTGTAGATTCACACCCAGGCTGTGTAAGGGCTATTTGACCAATAAGGAGAGTGGTGGGGTGCTGGGCCAGATGACCTGGCCTCCACAGTCACCGGACCTGAACCCAATCTTGATGGTTTTGAGGTGAGCTGGACCACAGAGTGAAGGCGAAAGGGCCAACTAGTGTTAAGCATCTCTGGGAACTCCTTCAAGACTGTTGGAAGCAGTGGCGGCCGGCCAATAGAGGGCGCTAGGGCGCCGCCCCACCACTCACAACTTGCCATGTTACCTTGAATAAAACGTAAAAAAAAATAATAACATTAAAATATTTCGAAATTTATGTGTGTTTTATTTCAGATGTGGAAGAAATACTTTATAGTTTATGCTGAGTTGGATTGATTAAGCTCATCAGCGTTGTCTGTGTCGGACTGAGGACGTATTTCTGCCTCAGGGCGCAAAAGATTGCGCCCTGAGCCGTCTATGGACTCTCGTTAAAAGTTGTACATGCTCCTCTTCAATGCAAGAGATAAGACGATTTGGGGGCGCAGGAGAAGTGCGCCCTGAGGGGGCGGGATCGCCCGCGACCTGTACTGTCACTGTCTGTGACGTCCGTTTACAGTGATTGACAGGTCAAGCTGTGGGAGTTTGAGACGAACGTAAAGAGACGCAAAATGGAGAACGAGAAAAAGAATAATTCAGTTAGATCACTCAAAACAATACCGTTTGAGAGAAGATCATACCAGGAGAAGGTTGAGGTTAAAGAGCTTGGACCTGATCAGCCAAATATTACCATTAGTCAGCAGTCCAGCGACAGGGGGAGACGGTACACTCGTACTTTTTCCAGGACCTGGTTCAGCGCCAAATCTTGGCTAGCAGCATGTAGCGAGGCTAATGCTTTATTTTGCTTTCCATGCCTCTTGTTTCAAACATCAGGATCTGACCCAGCATGGATCAAGACAGGTATGACTGATCTGAAGCACTTTTTAGAAAAGGCAAAGAAGCATGAGCAGACTGGTATCCACATGCAAAATGCCCTCAAATTAGCTATGTTTGGGAAGATAAATATTTCATCCCAGCTGGATGATGAAAGCTACAGGGTAGGGATCAGAAAGCACAATGAGGAGGTTGACAAGAATAGGCACATCCTATCAAAAATAATAGACTGTGTCAAATTCTGTGGTGCATTTGAACTTGCCCTGCGAGGCCATGATGAAAGTGAATCCTCAGGAAATCCTGGTGTTTTCAGAGGATTGGTGGATCTTGTAGCATCACTGGATGCAGTACTACATGAACACCTGCAGACCGCCACTGTGTTTAAGGGGACATCTAAGACCGTACAGAATGAACTCCTGGACTGCATGCTGTCAGTCATGAGAGAGTGCATCATTGGAGAAATCAGGAGTGCAGACTTTGTCTCCATTCAAGCTGATGAAACAATGGATATTTCTACTCAGTGTCAGCTTGTGCTTGTGATTCGCTTCATCGATAAAGCCCATCATGTCCAAGAGCGTTTTTTTGAGTTCATACCTCTTCAAAGTGCCACAGCTGATTCCATCGCCACTGCACTTCTTCATAGGTTGAGCTCCATTCTCCCTGACGACCAGAAGAGCAAGCTCATTTCCCAAGCATACGATGGTGCAAGTGTCATGAGAGGAGCCACAGGAGGTGTACAGAAGAAAGTCCAAGATGTTTATGTAAATGCTCACTATGTCCACTGCTATGCTCATCAACTAAACCTTATCATGCAGCAAGTGACTTCCCATATCCCAAAAGTGAGTCATTTCTTTTCAGACCTGGCTGGATTCTCTAGCTTTTTCTCAAGATCTCCAAAGAGAACCAGCGTGCTTGATAGAGTGGTAGCCCACAGACTTCCAAGAGCAAGCACAGTGAGGTGGAACTTCCACATCCGAGCTGTGAACACTATTTTTGAGCACAAAGAAGACCTGCTCCAGTGTTTTGGAAACATCAGGGATTCAGGAGAGTTTGATCCTACCACTGTGAGAGAAGCTGGAGGGTTTGTGAGGCTGCTGGAGGATGATAGTTTCAGCTTCTTCCTGAATCTGTTCCATCTCATCATGCCACATGTGGATATTCTCTACAGCCAGCTCCAGAAGAGGACCATCGATTCTGTCTTTGTTCAGGGAATCATGCAGAAGTTCACAGACAACATACAAAAGATCAGGTAAATTGATGTGTATGTTGCAATGTTTAACCCTCTTGATGCATTAATTATTTAAAAAAGAGCCACATTTTTCCACATTTCAATATTTTACTTCTCCAGACATGAAAAGTGATGCTTTTCTTTATTTTTAAATATTTTTAGACTTTTATTTTATTATCTATCTTTATCTATTCTATGAAAATATGAATAAAATATGTTCTCATAGTTATATGATAAAAATTCTGTAAAATCTAGCTTTATAATTTTCTTGTCCTGTTTATCAGTGAGGCAAACTTCATAATTACAATTTATCAGATTTTACACTATATTATCTACTTTTCAGTCAGGGTCAGTGTATTGGATGACTCACTAATGTCCAGTGAAGTGGATCATTTGCTAAAATACCATCCTGACCCATGCAGATATTGGAAACCAGCGTTTAGATAGAGACATTGTAGAGAATATGCTATGCATTAAAGAATGAATATTACTGATATTGTGTTAATCACTAGTATGCTTGAACCACTCAATAATCCTTGTAATTTTATGTGGTGACTTAAGATTAACTTTTCTCTTATTGGCTCTCTGTAAGCCAATACAGAGAGCTCTCTGTGGAGAACACAGTGGCAGTGGATCTCAGCTGGCCAAGAAACGCCGCACCCTGGGCCCCGGTGAACTTCAGAGGGTATCCACAGAGGTGAGATAGAAGCTTAATAGTAGTGCTATATTATGAGAAAGGAGGAACAAAGCTTTGAATAGGCCCTGTAATCCACTTTAATGAAGGCGCAATGTTAATTTGTGTTTATTACTATTCAATGAACACATATTTCTTCATGACAAACAGGAAGATTGATTGATTGATAAATAGATAGTTATTACATAACTTTCTAAATACTTGTATTAGAAAGCTGACTGATAGCCATCTCCACATTGTACTAAACTGGTGCATTCCTTTTATAGGTTTGTGACACCATCTTGGTCCATGCAAAGCAGAGATTTGCCTTCACAAAGCATCTGATCAGTGCTACACTGCTGCAGGCAGACAGATTTCAACAGTACCACAGCCAGTTCCCTGAAGCAGCACTAAACACCACTGTGGAGGCTTACCCAATGCTGAAATGGAGCTTAAGCGGAGGTTCAGTATGGTAGACTACCTACGTTATCACACAAGGCTTGACCACGCCTTACTCAGCCTGTCTTAATCAACTCCCCGCAGCCGTGTCAATCAAGCCAGCGTTTAAGAGCAAAGCAGAGCACAGCTCACCAAACGGACTTCAAGCTGCAATGGGTTGCTCTTCGTCACCTTGTTACTCACGCCTCGCACATTGTTCGTCCTGCATGGTTGCGGCTCCTCTTCCACATCACATGTTTGGGGCTGCGCGCCATGGTCGCTGTGTCTCCACCGCGGCTCACCGCGGCTCCTCTCCTGCGGACTCGCTCCCGCTCGTCTCCCCGTGGCCGCTGCTACTCGCGGCCAGGCGTTACTCCGTGCACCCTGCAGCTTCCATACCGGGCACGGGACTTCTGTCTGCCTGCCGTTGTCTGCCTGCCACTGTCCACCCGTCTCCCTGCCTCCACTCACGGTACAGTGTCGGTTTCGTGTTTTCCGCACTACCATGAACGTACTGAACTGCGGCGTGTCAGTTAATCCCGCCGAATTGTCTCGCAGGCTGTGTTTCTAACCGCTGCATTGCTCTTCAGGCTGTTCGTTTTACCATCTGCATTGGCATTTAGACTGTCCGTTTTCACCATGGACCGTACATTTAACCACTGTGTTGGCCTTCTGGCTGTCCGTTTTACTCATGGGCTGAACATTCTACACACTGCAGTGGCCTCCAGGCTGTCCGTTTTACTATGGACTGAAAATTTTACCCACTGCAGTGACCTCCAGGCTGTCAGTTTTACTATGGACTGAACATTTTACCCACTGCATTGACCTTCAGGCTGTCAGGTGTAACCATGGACTATAACATTTGTCGTCTGCATTGGCCTTCGCTCTGTCTAAATTGACCGTGGACTGTAAGTTTTGTCCACTGCATTGATCTCATTGGTCGGTGCGTGGCCGAGCCCCTCTGTGCTGTTCATTTGCCCAGTGCTCTGGCCTTACGCCACTTTAACGCCACGCTTCGACGCCACGCTTCGACGCCACGCTTCGACGCCACGCTTCGACGCCACGCTTCGATGCCACGTTTCGACGCCACGCTTCGACGCCACGCTTCGACGCCACGCTTCGACGCCACGCTTCGACGCCACGCTTCGACGCCACGCTTTGACGCCGCACGCTTTGACGCCGCACGCTTTGACTCCTCCTCCACGCCGCACGCTTTGACGGCGCACGCTTTGACGGCGCACGCTTTGACGGCGCACGCTTTGACGCCGCACGCTTTGACGCCGCACGCTTTGACGCCGCACGCTTTGACGCCGCACGCTTTGACGCCGCTCGTTTTGACGCCGCACGCTTTGACGCTGCACGCTTTGACGCCGCACGCTTTGACGCCGCACGCTTTGACGCCGCACGCTTTGACGTCGCACGCTTTGACGCCGCACGATTTGAAGCCGCACGCCTCACGCCTCAACGACGCCGCACGCTTCACGCCTCAACGACGCCGCACGCCTCACGCCTCAACGACGCCGCACGCTGCACGCCTCACCGACGCCGCACGCTGCACGCCTCAACAACGCCGCACGCCTCAACAACGCCGCACGCCTCGACAACGCCGCACGCCTCAACGACGCCGCACGCCTCGACAACGCCGCACGCCTTGACAACGCCGCACGCCTCGACAACGGCGCACGCCTCGGCGACGCCGCACGCCTTGACGCCGCGCGCTTTGACGCCGCGCGCCTCAACGATGCCGCACGCCTCAACGACGCCTCAACGACGCCGCACGCCTCAACGACGCCGCACGCCTCAACGACGCCGCACGCCTCAACGACGCCGCACGCCTCAACGACGCCTCAACGACGCCGCACGCCTCAACGACGCCGGCGCGCTTCAACGACGGCGCACGCTTCAACAACGGCGCACGTCTGCGGCCGCACGCTTCATCGCAGCTCGTCGGCGGCCGCACGCTTCATCGCAGCTCGTCGGCGGCCGCACGCTTCATCGCAGCTCGTCGCCGGACGCACGCTTCATCGCAGCACGTCGGCGGCCGCACGCTTCATCGCCGGTGGCCGCTGTTTGACGCCACGTCGGTGTCCGCCTCCTGCCGCATTCTCGACGCCACGCTTCGACGCATTCGTGTGCTCTCATCCATTCATCGTGGGACCAGTGTCGACCATGGACTCGCGTTCCCTATTGGGGGTTGAACAATCCAACGCTTGGAGAGTTCTGCTTCACAATGACGGGAAGAGCCGGCATCGACGGATCAGGTCAGTGGTCTGACTGAAGACGTGGTCTGACTGAAGACGTGGTCTGACACTGCCCGTTGGTCCTTTTCACTCGAGTGATAGTGGTTCGAGGTTTCTCTTTTCAGCTTCGCAGGAACGCGATGCCGCAACGCCGCACCAAAACTCTGCTACAACGCCGCGACGGCGGCCTGCTGCAACGCTGGCCTGCTAAGACTGCATGAGTACTGTTCGGCGTGGCCTTCAAACCTGGCCGGCTATCTTCCCCAGGCCGCACTCATTGGCTTTTGGGTGCAGCACTGCCCGCCACGGTTTGCGTGCACTCTGAGTGGCTGTAGGCGGTGCTCCTTCTCATGTTCCCCAGGCATATTCTCTCCTGGTCTCCTGGTGCGGCTCCTGCCGCCGGGCCTGTCTCACGCTTCGCCTTACCTGACGCACCCTGGCCCTCATTCTGACCGGGCCCTTGTGCGTTGGTTTTTGGGGGTCCAGAGATCTCCTATCGAACATCAATCTTCCTGGGTAAGTGTACTTCATGAATCTCATTTTCACCGTCTAGTCTCCCCAAGTGGAATCATGTTCGAAAGCAGCGCTCTAAACACCAGCAGTTCATCCTTCATTCAGCATTCTCCTTTCCCTCTCACTGCACACTCTCAGTCTCTGGACATCAGCATCACGGGTACTGCCGTCACTGCCTCATCTACATCGGCATTAAATACATTCTCTAAAAATCCACTTCGAGTCACACTGCTCCACCCTCATAAGAAGATCCTTAAAGGAGTATTGGCAATGGTCCTTGTTCTGTAGTTTAGGTCCTGGACGACTAGCCTGTCTGTCCGTGGAGTGGATTCCCTCTCTCAATGTAGGGTCTTCCGAAGGTTTCTCACTTTTTTCCCCACGGGGTTTTGTGAGTTTTCCTTGCCATGCAGGAGGGTCTGGACAGTTAGTGTCCAACTAGAAGGCCCGTGGTGATGATCCAGGATACTTTAACATTCTACAACATGTATGGACATTTTATCAACATTCATAGACTATAATTACTCCTTATACAATCCCTCGACGACCCCCTGGTCTGAACAAATTCAAAACCTCTGCTCCCTGCATGTAACCTCTCTTCCTTTCTCTACACCCGCCACTCCTTCCGGATAGGAGCAGCCACTTGGACTGCTGCCCTGGGACTCCCTCAATCATCTCTCCAGGAGCTCGGTCCCCGGTTCTCTACCACATTCATCCGTTCTGGCAGCCCAGCGCCTCCTCTCATATAAGTACGTATGCATCTCCTGGTGGTGGCAACTCCTCATTTCCAGCATGCCGCGCACTCGAGCCGAGCTCGTGCGCGTGCCAACGCCTAGCGCTAGAGCCGAGCTCGCGCACGGACATTATGCCGCGCACTTAGGCCGAGCTCGTGCGCGTGCTAGCGCTAGAGCCGAGCTCGCGCACGGACATTACGCCGAGCGCGTGCCAACGCCTAGCGCTAGAGCCGAGCTCGCGCACGGACATTACGCTGCGCACTTGAGCCGAGCTCGTGCGCGTGCCAACGCCTAGCGCTAGAGCCGAGCTCGCGCACGGACATTACGCCGCGCACTTGAGCCGAGCTCGTGCGCGTGCCAACGCCTAGCGCTAGAGCCGAGCTCGCGCCCGGGCATTACGCCGCGCACTTGAGCCGAGCTCGTGCGCGTGCCAACGCCTAGCGCCAGAGCCGAGCTCGCGCACGGAAACAGTCACTCACACCATGCGCCTTCCATAAACGCAGCAACCAAGTCATGGCAAACGCATCGCTAGCCAAGCTCTCTTTTTGGGGATCATGATCTGCACCCAGGCGCAGATCTCTTCAGAGCACGGCCACAGCCGGGGCCTAAGCTCCAAACCAATAAACAAACTCAATCCATAAAATAAACAACTCTTAAACGCATCTCGTCTCTTGTAGTCTCTCCAGGTTGAAATGGAGCTTAAGCGGAGGTTCAGTATGGTAGACTACCTGCGTTATCACACAAGGCTTGACCACGCCTTACTCAGCCTGTCTTAATCAACTCCCCGCAGCCGTGTCAATCAAGCCAGCGTTTAAGAGCAAAGCAGAGCACAGCTCACCAAACGGACTTCAAGCTGCAACCACCTCCTCCCCACCTCCGCCTCAGGATTTCTTCACTCTCACATTCACCTTGCCTTGTTGCCACCACCAGTGTCTAGGCCCCGGGGGATCATGATCTGCACCCAGGCGCAGATCTCTTCAGAGCACGGCCACAGCCGGGGCCTAAGCTCCAAACCAATAAACAAACTCAATCCATAAAATAAACAACTCTTAAACGCATCTCGTCTCTTGTAGTCTCTCCAGGTTGAACAAGAACAAGCTGAAAACTGAACTGTCTCTCATTTACAGCAATGATGAGTTCAAGAGCTGCAGTGGTGCTGTGGCTCTCTACCAGCTTTTCATGGAGAACAATCTTCAGGACACCTTCTCAGAGACTGTTGCTCTGCTTAAGATCCTCATCACAACTCCCATGACCACAGCTGAATCTGAGAGGTGCTTCTCAACACTGAAGAGAATCAAGACCTTCCTTAGGAACACAATGTCACAGGATCGTCTCAATGCATTGGCCATGCTCTCGATGAAGAATCTTATTAAAACCATCCCTGACTTCAACCAAAGAGTCATTGAGAAATTTGCTACTCTCAAGGACAGAAGGGCAAAATGTATGTACAAAAAATAAGTAGGACAGTAGTACTGTACATTTAATTGTACTGTTACTTTTGTTGTTTTAATGTAAATACTGTGATGTTATACATCAAAGTTCTCACAAATCTGTTGCTTACAGTCCAATCCAATCCACTTTATTTCTATAGCACAGGAATCACTCTGGATAAGGGATCTGAACACGGGGTACCCACATGGCCTTAATGGCCAATTTTAAAAGAACTTGACCCTACCGAAACCACCCCCTCCCCCCTTCTCCTCCTCCATGTCTCCCTTGGGGTGTGTGGATGGAGGAGGAGGGGTTGAGCCTACGCCTGGACAGGTGGAGGAGTAGCTCGACCCCGGACAAGGGTTCTACTCCTTTGCTCTCCCCTCTTTCTTCCTTACCACCATCTTTTCCTTAGTTTAATCCTGGCCCAATTCCTCCCCCCTTCTCCTCCTCCGCGTCCCCTTTGGGTGTGCGGATGGGGGAGGAGGGGTTGAGCCTACGCCTGGACAGGTGGGGGAGTAGCTCGACTCCGGACAAGGGTTCTACTCCTTTGCTCTTCCTCTCCTCTTTGCGCCCACTTTTGCGTATTACTTTTTTATTACATGTTATGTACTTAATTCTTTCCCTGTTAAAACATTATTTAAGCCTCAAAAGAAACAAAGCAAATAGCGCAATTGTCAAAACCGGAGTAGAAGTCTGACTGCCCCCAGAAATATGTTTAACTCTAATGGGCAATGAGGAAAATACCAGGTGATCCTTTACATGTAAGTTTTGACCAACTCATCCTAGGCCTGAGCCCATCTCGTTCAAATACCAGGGATTATCAGTAAAGTTTTTTACTTTATAAATACCGGGTGTTCCATATTCATGTTATACCTTAAAGGTTCTCAACTAACACCTGGCAACCTATTTTACTCAAACTCTGACCCTATTCAACTCCAATTCTGATCATTCCCTTGAGACTAACCCTGGTCCTACGGACCCAATCATCACCCCTAGCCCTAACCTTAACCCTAACTCCTGACTTCTAACGAAGTCAGTGGTTATATGGTGGTATTGTTGCTACGATAACTGTGGTCTTGATTATTTTGATTATCTCTTTGATCCAATTAATGCTCACTGCTAAGTGTGTCATTTATTTATTTGTTTATTTATTAATACCGTAAATCCTCTAATATTGGCCTGTATTCAATTACTGGCCGGGTTTCTAATAGTGGCCTGGCCCCCTGATGGCGGAGGCAAATAAAAGCCGGCCTCACATACAGGCCGGGGGCTTGGAAAAATAAATAAATACAATAGTTTTATGCTTAAAAGCACCACAAGCTGGCAGTGTCTACCAACAAATCCTGGCCTAAGGCCTGATCATGTGACCTTGTTGATTCTCGTGTGAGGCTTCAGTCACAACAGTCAGTGTAAACTTACTTACTGCTGGTATATATCTAGTCATCATATTCATAGCCCCCCCAGTAGAAAATTCCACCAGCCGCCACTGGTTGGAAGACCATTTCAGGTCACTTGCCTCTTGAAGCTCATCAAAAGAATGCCAAGAGTGTGCAAAGCAGTAATCAGAGCAAAAGGTGCTACTTTGAAGAACCGAGAATATAAGACATATTTTCAGTTCATAATTTTTTTAGGTACGTACATAATTTAATTAATAGTTTTGAGGCCTTTAGTAAGAATCTACAATTTTGATAGACATGGAGATAAAAACACTCTTAAGATGGGTGGGTGTGTCCAGACTTTTGGTCTGTAATGTACATAAATTCAGCCTGTAAATTCAGTCATGTAGTTTTTGGCTATATGTCTAGAGCCAGGGCTGGACTGGGACCAAAAAACGGCCCGGCCATTTTAGCCTTCTTGACGGCCCAGGCGTGGTTTTTTCATGTTTTTTTTTAGTTTGTTTATACAGTATGCGGAAGCAAATACTGTAGAGGATCAGGATGTATGCCGTTTCAACAATAAAATAAAGTGCAATACTCTACATCAGTGGTTCCCAAAGTGGGGGTCCCGACCCCCCCGGGGGGTCGCGGGAACCCCTGGGGGGGTCGCCAGATGATTTCCACACAAACAAACAAAAAGATATATATTTTTTTTAGAAAATATAAAGTCCTTAAATATTTATTTAGCATTTGATTTGATTCAAAAGGACTACTTGTTAAATTGTGTTTGGAGACTATAATATATTTTGATAACGTTAGTAATTTTGTCCCAGTCATTGCAGGTCAATCAAAATCATCACGTAACACAGCTCACATCATGCGCAGCGACAAAGCGTGTCCTGCTGTTGTTTGCTAAAACTAAAGGTGTTTGGAGGCTACAAATAAATAATACCTGCTTTAAAATGAAACGTGGTTAATATCCACAGCAGAAAAACCCGGAGGGGGAGAAAAGTCACTTGTATCAGGGGTCAGGCTGATGGTGCGAAGAGAGGGAGAGAGGGCAGCGGAGGGAGGGAGGACAGCGGTAGAACAGCGCGTTAAAGAGGCCCGGCTTTTCGGAGTCAAAGGTAAAGAGGTCCGCACATTAAAAGCGGGTGGCCGGTGTGGTGACAGTTTTTGGAGTAATTACATAAAACCAGCCGCAGCAAATACACAGACGTCAAAGGCCTTTTATCAATGCAGACGACCTTCTGACGCCATGCTGAGCTTTGTGAGGGCCCCTGCTGTCTGTCACACCCTTGTGTCTTTCGTATCTTGAATCGGTATGCCTGCTCCTATCCATATGTCCCTGCTGCCAGGAAGGAGCCGGGCCCCCCCCGACACCTACAGACAATGGCGATCACTCTTGCCCCCTTTCACCTCTTGCATATGTATCGGTCTGTATGTGTGCACTTCCTACATCCTGCAGTCTGTTTGCATCCCTATGCGCCTCCTGCACCGGTGGCCCCCTCCCATCTGTTGTGGGCGGGACTGGCTTTCGTGTGTGTCTTGTATACAGGAAGCTCGGGGCTCTGGCCCCAGAGCTGGTACATGCTGCTTTTTGAGTGGATGTGCTGGCTCTCCGCACGTGCGTTAACAATAAACTTACGCTTTTGATCAGACAAAGGACCTTTGAGTTTTCTCCTTCATGGGGTATATAATTCTACAACAATTTGGCGTTGCTGACATGTCTTGGCATGGATACTTTCGGCGGGGACGAGCGGCTTTGTTTGGCCGACCTGGATCACCAGCCTCTGTTCCTTTTTGGAGACAAAGGAGGGCGCGCTCGTCCCGCGCACGGAAGGAATCCTTTTGCCACACAAGACCAAAAAGAACCTAATCTGGTGAGTCTTGTCTTTTCATCTGCGTAACGAGCCCAGGGCAGCACTTAAGTGTACACGGGGATTTGTTTATTTATGTATTTTTGGGGTATTTCATTCATTGCCACAGCATAGTCTGTGTGCGGGATTTTTTGGGGGCTTTTTGTTCTAGATTGAAGCTAGCGGCTGCGCGTTAGTATCGCCCTGTAGGCGACCCTGATAATTTCTCCAAGTGTCTTCAGCCAGAACCGCTCCGTTTTCAAGAACACGCGCTCGCTGGTTGAACCAGCGGGGGGGGGAACGGAGCGCCCCAAAGTGGGTAGGAGCAGGGAAGAGACTAAGCGGGTTAGGCCCATTGTTCTGTACGAGAAAATGGGAAAATCAATCTAAAGATGCCATACCGAGGGGAATGTTAACGTCCCCCGTTACAATGGCCATGAGAAAACAGTTCGGACCTAAAGCTATGGAGGCTCTATGTCTCCGAATCAACTACGCATTTTGCGTGATAATTTAGAAGAAGGGAAGAAAAAAAATATACTTGGTTTTAAGAATATCACGGCAAAAGAGGTTAGAGAAAGAAATATGTAAAAACAATAGCTCCTCCGCTTTTCACCGAAGCGGAGAACACACAGGCGGACACACACACACACATCCCCACACCCCCACACCCCCACCCTACCGCCCTCTCTCACCTACTAACCCACAGAACTCCATGCTAAGTACGCGCCCAAACAAGGCGTTGGGTTTTTAAAAAAATGAAGCAGACTACTGTTGTCTCTTTTCCCTGTCCCTATCCAGGTCTGTCGGCGCCTTTCCTCCGCGCTCTGTCCTCTGCCTCAAAGCACCAGCCCCACGCCCCAACCACAGGCGGCGCCCGCACCAGCTGAGACCCCGCGAGAAGTGGGCCCAAACCGCAGAAGAAGAAGAGGCGGAAACAGACACACGCTCAGGAAACCACAGAAGAAGAAGCGGGGGAAGCAAATATGTGAGACACCGACAACTGCTCTGGAGCACAGAGAGAAACTGCTCCAAATCCCGTGACTGTTCTCCACGGAGGTTTATGCCTTTACTGACAGTAACTTTGGAAAGAGAAGCAGCGGGGATGAACCGCATAAAGTAACAGGAAAAGCGGCCGCCCGCTTTTAATGTGCGGACCTCTTTACCGCTGACTCCGGAAAGCCGGCCCACTTTACCGCGGTAGGAGAACAGTGAGGGCGAGCCGCAAGAAATGCGCTCCACTTCTGCTGAGGAGGGAGCCCACCAAGCTTTTTGGGCTGGACAGTGCAGCTCAGTAGTGGCGTGAGTCTCTAGAAAGCGTTACTCCGTATCAAGGAAATACATGCTCATTTCATGTGACGGAAGGGCTGTTGGGGGGGGGGGGGGGTTGCGGGTTAGCAGGTTAGCAGGGCATTTATGATGGGGGTCGCGGGCTAAAAACTTTGGGAACCCCTGCTCTACATTACAAGAGAGTAATAAACATGTCTCAGAGTGAGGGAGGTGGACACAGACAACACTATTGTTTGTCACAGGGATGAGAATTGGTCAAAGTCAGAAATGCATAATGTCAGCCATTGGCTGGCTCTAAATCTGTTTGATTTGTTCACAACATTTTACTTTTGGGCCAAGCCAACATGAACTTTTAATGCAATGTACAGGTACCTGAGCTTTAATTGAGGGAGTTTAGTCGCGGTTCGAGAGGAGAGGGGACACGTGGACTGTTTCCTGCTGCGGTGTATTTATTGGGTGCACAGATTACGCAAAGACACGCACACAACAAGTAGAGAATGGTCCTGTGCGCGTTTATGGTCTTGGGTACATGGTGGAGCGGCTGTGAGCGCTCACAGCCCCTGGACGCGGGAACCGCTCATTAAAAAGTGGCCGCAGATGCCCCGGAACACTGCGGCCGCTGAGGTGGCGGAATCCCGTTCAAGTACATACAGCAGGTGCCCCGCGGACACGCGCGCCCCCCTTGAACAATTTTCAACGGAGATACACTTTTTACAAACATGTTTACTGTAGGGATGTACCGAATCCAGATTTTTGGGGTTCGGCCGAATACCGAATTCACTGGTTAAGATTCGTCCGAATCCGAAACTGAATACCTAATCCTACTCCATTCTCAGTCCATTAATGTTTTAACAGCGGCGATGTTGTGTATTGTTAAGGGTCCTTACCACCACGAGACAAATCGGCGTTGCAAATTGGACGTGTAGCTCGACTAGAATCACCTTCTTTGGACTGATAGTACTGCCAAAC